GGGCTGAGTCTATGTGGCAACTGTTCTCGGACTCTTAATAGTTCTTCATTATGTTGACTTGAAAATCACCTTTCTGTGACTTCTGCCTCTTGATGACCGGGTGTTAGATGAGCAAAACGTGCAATTTGAAATCCCAGGCCCTAGTTTGAACCCCTGTTCTGTCATCAGCCAACTCTGTGACCTTCAGGCAGTGGTTTATTCTCCTCGAAACTTCATTTTTCCATCCTTAAATTAGGCAGTTAGCATCACTCTCACTGGTCATTTTGAGACTAAGTGGAGCCAGTGTGCCTCAATGTTAGTTCCCTCAGGCCCTCCCCTCCCCAGCCCTCAGCTGTACTGAGAGATCCTGGCAATTACTGTTTTCCTGTCGGTGAGAGTGCTCATCTCCAGGGTAAAGAGATACGGTTTCAGTCCACGAACGTACTTTGAGCTGCTTGAGTGCTCTTCACTTTGCTGTGGGAGCGATTTCCCTCTGAGTCATGGATTCCCCTAATTATTATCAAAAGGAGAAAAAAAGAAATCTCTCTCCCTCCTCCCCAGGAATTGGAGTTCCACACTCAGAATGAACCCCGTGTTTTAAGTTGAATATTCATATGATGGTGTCTGCCTGCATAAATAGAAACATCCTTTTTACTAGTCATCAAGTTTTCTCTTCAAAAACTATCACACATTTTCCAAATCTGCGGGGACAGGCCCAGTTAGATAAGAGTCTGCCAGCCCTGGCTCTGGCTGTGTCTATTGACAGCTCATTTGGTGCTGAGGACCCGGTGGTTTCCCCAGAAACACACAGGAGGACTGCAATGCGACAGCTGCTCTGTACCTTGCCAGGGCTTTAGGCGGTTGGTCTCATGAATGAGTTTTTTCAATTAATGACCTTGCTCCATATGGGACATTAAAGATGTTTTTGTTTTTAACCCAGGATGACATGCTAGAAGCTGGAAAGATTTAAGAATATTAAATATTCCTCCTCAGCCTCAAGATGACAGTTGATAAACAAGTAACCATAAGATATCAAAAATATCAAAGGATAGGAGGAGAGGCGCAAGCCCTGGGGTGCTTAATAAAAAACGAGGAAGCGAGAGCGTAGTCAAGCTGCAGATCCCCAGCGGGGCCAGTACCTGGGCGTCTGTATAAAGCCAGAGTAGCAAGCAGGACTCCTGTAACTTGGTTCACTCTAACATTTGTCCTCACATGCTCCAGATGTATGTAACAGGGGTATTTATATTATCTTAGCAACCAAAGCATTGCTCCAGAATTGTGAACAGTGGCTTAGTTTGGAAAGCTTGGGTGATCTAATCACGAGCTCTGTCAACGTTCTCTGTGCCCCTCCCTCAGGAGGTCTCCTGCCCGTGTGGTACTGTGCTTATCAAACTGTGTCACCCCAACATTCATGCTGCAAGGAGGGTCTTTCGGGGGCGGCTGGATGGAAGCAACTGGGTGGGCTTGCAGACCCTCTCCACCTGCTTCAGCAAGAGCAGCTCCACTCTTACCTGCCTTGCATGTTACAAAACCATGGACGATTCTGTTTGGACTAAAAGGCATTCTTTTGCTTTAAAATCAGAAACTTGAAAAGCAGTGGCATCATGATGTTTGAATCCTTTGTAAGTTGCTTTTCCACTCAATGATGTGTTTTTGAAATATAACCATGTTAATACACATAGACAGAGTTTAATTGTTGTATGAATAAACCACATCATATTCATTCCCCTGCTGATGGGCAATTAGATGGTTCCCCATTCTTCACCATCTCAAAATATTTCTTCAGTGGAGTTGAGGGCATTTTCCGTATAGATACTGATGGATGGTGCCCTCTAAGCTAGACCAGAAGGGAAGGGACACTGGTTGGATGGTGAGATGTGGAGAGTGGACAGAGGATGAGAAGCCACACAGATGTGATAAAGTCAGGATGCCCCACAGTCAAACAGGTTCTGTGAACTGTGGGATCCAGAGGTAGCACAGATCATGAGGGACTGGGTGGCCAAGGATGGGGAGGAAAATGAGCCTGTCAAAGCCCCGGAGGCTGAGGCGTTAGCTGGGTCATTCACTGCGTGTGTTAGTTTGCTCTGTCAGCTCCACCCTGCACCCCTCTCTGTGCCCACTAAGCATCGTGTCTGTGGGCCGGTTGCCCTCTGCCGGGGAGACATGCAGCCTTGACCTTGGAGGGAGAGAGCACAGTGCAGGTGGCCTTCATCTACCGAAGGCCACGGCTCCCTCCCCCATAACTCACCTCTCCAGTCCCAGCAGAGCTCCCTCCCTTGCTTCCCCTCTGATGGTGAAACAGCCTGTTTGGGGCCCTCTACTCTCTTCCTTAGGTTTCCTCCATGCAAAGCGTCACTTTATTGTCTTCTTTCCCTTATTCATCTGTTAAACTGAACTATCCCTTTCTTGCCCAATAGCTGCAGGCCTATCTTATGGAGATCACTGCAAATGATGACAGGAGGAAGGGTCGCGAGGAAGGTAGTGAGCCAGAACCCTAGTGGGGGCGGTGTCTGAGTTTAGGTAAAATCAAGCTGCCCCACATTCTTCTTGTTCATCTGTAAGCGCCTTTAAAACCAAAAGCTCTGCCTAATTTTTGTGTGAATTCCTAGTGTTTGAGTAATATGTGGCATGCAAAAAGCATTTTATAATTAAGATGAATTGAATTGAATATGACTGAATTAAATTAAGCTGAATTGTTCTGAATAAATGAGATACTAACGTGGCACGTTTTAAATACCATGGGTTCCCTTCTCCACTGCCCTCGCCCCCTACTCCAGCATATGGCTTTTAGAAGCTTCATGAACGTCAAATAACAGATTAGATCAGACACTGAGTTTCTGAAGTAAATAATGAATATTAAATGTTCGCTTATGTTAGCATCTTATAGAGAAAAACATTGAAGTTATGAAGATTTTGTGAAACATTCAGACCCCTGTTAAGATTTCAGGATCCACTTTCTTGTTACTGTGAACATTTTTGCTCATGGAAAACTTTGCATCCTGTTTCCAAGACAAAAAAGCAGCTTAGCTCTCAGAACATGTTAATTATTCATTTGAAAGTAATTTTGATAGACTCACATCTTTTGCATTGACTTGAATTATAATACCGAGTGGAAACAAAATATGAAATCTCTTTGAATTCAAATTTGAGCTGTAGTCAATCTAAAATACTGTGTGTAAAAGGTCTTTGTAACAATATGAGTTAAATCTCTTCTGGCATCAGACGGTGCTCTCCTCACCCTCTGGATTGTAGAAATAGTAAACACAGGGAAAAGACAAAGTAAACATGATCTATTAATATTTGCATTGGGGGCAGGGCAAGCTTTTTCTCTTGTTTTTTTTTTTATTTCCTGAGCACTGAACATTTGATTCCTCACTGTATCCCTCTGGCTCCAATTTGAAAAGCATTTCCAGTCAGAACTTCAGGCCAACTTGAGGATAATGACTAATTATGGTTTGCCAAAATCACACGTTCAGTTTATTTATATCCTGTAATTTTAAAAGTCATTTTAAAACAAAAGCTATTGTTAGTATTTACAAATATGAAATTCTGATTCTTCTAACACAGCAATAAAAGTTATTACCAAGAATCTTGATTTGGAGTAGCCTCCTCATAAGAAGTCTAGATCTAGTAACTTAGTAGGTTTTAACATACGACAAATGAGATGACAGTCTAGAGTCTACCCTGATTATCATCTCAGAAATGCATTTAGCTGGTAGTCAGAGAAGCAAGTGTCTCTGGCTTTGCTGTCTCACTGCTGTCTCTGGACTCGAGGATTCTAGTGCTCTGGCTTTATGTAGTCTAAGATTTAGGCTGTACTTTAATCCTCTTCCATTTGTGGTATCAATTTGAATATTTTTGACAATTTGTATTATCCTCATTTTATAGATGAAAAAACTGAGGTTGCTGAGGGGGTGATTTGCCCAAGATATTTCACAGCTAATAAAGCATGGAGATAAGACTCAGACCTTGATACTCTGCCTTCAGATTTGCTGTTTCTACTGTGTTATGAATGCTGACATCCCTCCTGGCTGGTGCACACTGCCCTGAGCACCCTGACTCCTTCAGCTTCCAGGAGCTATGAATGTTTCATGGGATTATTTACTTGTTTGTTTGCTTAATGTCTTTTTATTTGAAGGGGTGCATTTTGTATTTTATTTGAAAGGATTTTATTATTTTATGCTCATAATATCATGTGTGCGTGTGTGCTAAGTCACTTCAGTCATGTTCGATTCTTTGCAACCCTAGGACTGTAGCCAGCCAGGTTCCTCCATATATGGGATTCTCCAGGCAAGACTACTGGAGTGGGTTGCCATGCCCTCCTCTAGGGGATCTTCCCGACCCAGGGATTGAATCCGAGTCTCTTATGTCTCTGCATTGGCAGGCGGGTTCTTTACCACTTGCGCCACCCGAGAGCCCCATAATATCATCAAGTGGTTCTTTTCCATTAGAGAATTTTTAAATGGGCTTCGTCTCAAGGAACTGAGCTGTTTACTGTGCTCCGGCAATTCCCATGGCCGGTTCGCTGAGGATATAGTCGAATGGGCTTGGCAGACCAAGTGTGGGTTTGGGGTCAGGGTTTCAGTGGGTGAGGCTGCTGACACTGGGGGTGAGTCCCCCTCTCTGGACTGGCCAGTGGGTAGGGGACTGTGCTTGCCCACTTCCGCTGCAGCACTGGCACTTTTTAATTCATCTCCTTCCTTCTGGGAACCAACCCCCACTCCTACTGACAATGCACTCATGGGAGGATAGACTTTTAAATGATTTACTTAGAAATAAATCCTGGCCACAGCATCAAGCCATCTGGACTCAGCGTCCAGGGCTTGGTACATTCTCTCTCCACTGCACGATGCTTTTAAAACCCAACTCCCCCCAGAGTTGATTGTGCTTCCACATAAATTATATTGTTTAGGTTGCTGGAAGTTTCCTTGGCTTTCTGCTTATCGCTGCAAGAACAGTTTGTTCCCTGCTGCTGCTGCCAAGCATGTAAGCAAACATGTTTCTTCTTTTCGTGATGACAGGCGCATCTCATCGTCCTGAGAGGAACCCCCTCTCGAGAGGAGGCAGCCGCGTCCGCACACGCCGTCGCCTGTGCCGCTGTTGCTTCCGGGAGGCCTGAGCACCACGGTGAGAGAAGCACGAGCCTTCCCCGGGGGCAGAGCGGACTGCTCCCTCCTGGCCATGCACATCGGGGTCGTGGGCTCGCTGCCTTTTGCATGGGTGAACGGGCAGAGGGAGCGGTGATGGTCGCTTCAGAGAGCCTTCTTGGTTAGGTCCACCAGAGCCCTTTGGTTTCTAGCCCTTTTCAGCCTTCTTCGAGACTTGTACTTTCAAACACAGCAAATCGAAACGTAGCTCTCAGAGCCCCAGAGAGGTCATGCTGGGCTTGCAGGGCGGCCTCCTGGGCTTTTGAAGGTGATCTATTTTTAAAGATTGTTGTGCAGCTACTGTGGCAACAGACCTGGCCTGTTGAAACGCCAGCCTTCAGACTCTCCCAGGGCTGAGCTTTCAATCAGGATAAATTACACGTCTTCAGGATTCCAAAAGGAAGTTGCCACTTATGAGTCATATAGTTTTTCTTAGCCCCACATAATAGGTAGAGCGGTAAGCTTGGGAGTTTTTTAATCTTCCATCCCGGGCTCCGAGCATACAGTATGCCTCTATTGATGAAGAACATACTATCCTAATGACTTTTTCTTGTTGTTGGCCAGAAAATTCAGAAACAAGAGTATGATTCATAAAGAAGACCTGAGGTGTATTCCAAGATGTCAGATAAAAATACTTATCTATTGTAGGAAAATAAGGTCCAGTGTGGCATCAAGCTGGAAGTCAACATTTGGAAGGCTTGAGGCTGAGGTTCTGGGAGCAGGCGCTGGCTAAGATGAGAAGGCTGGTTGTGTGGGGGAGCGGGGGATGGGGCGGGGCAGCTGAAGGGGGCGCCTTGGGAGCAGACTGGTCTGCAGAGCTCCCTGGACCGGGCAGGGGCTCCTCTTCTGGGAGGAGCTGAGGAAGGGGGTCTATCTGTCCATCCCCCCTTGCTGCTGCTGCTGCTGCTAAGTCGCTTCAGTCGTGTCCGACTCTGTGCGACCCCATAGACGGCAGCCCACCAGACTCCCCCATCCCTGGGATTATCCAGGCAAGAACACTGGAGTGGGTTGCCATTTCCTTCTCCAATGCATGAAAGTGAAAAGTGAAAGTGAAGTCGTTCAGTCGTGTCCGACTCTTAGCGACCCCATGGACTGCAGCCTACCAGGCTCCTCTGTCCATGGGATTTTCCGGGCAAGAGTACTGAAGTGGGGCCATCCGCCCTTAACGGTCCCTCATTCTGGTCTCCAGGAGCTTTGCGCACCTTTTCAGAGCCGGAAGATAGGGAAGGCAGACGCCCTTTCTCATTCTAGCTCCCTAGAGCACTGCACACCTCAACCAACTTCCAAACCTGCAAAGAGCCAATATTTTCACCAACCTGTTGGTGGCTAACCTTCCTTTAATAGGCAAGAGAACCTTCCATGCCACAAGTATTAATAGAATACTTAAAATGCAAACAGGATGGAAACCCCTACATTAGCAGGGTCACAAACCTGCATGTCCATAGGGAGCAGGTAAGCAATCCGAGTGAAGTGGATGGTCCTTAGAAACCAGTAGCAGCAGCAGCACAATTATGATTGGCAGCTAACCCTTGGCTGTAATCTGAGAGATGCAATAGGGAGTGGTGAGGGCTGTGACCAGCTGGAGAAGCCTGTCCCCCGTCCAAAGCAAGCAACTGCTGTTCAGCTCTAGCCCATCACTGTCACGTGGAAGGCAGGCTTGTATCGGCAGGTCTGCTTTTTCACGAGAAGGCAGAAATCTGAAGTTTTATGTGAAATCAATGCATAGTTGATGGTAACTAAGTCAAATATGTTTCAGGCTCTGAAGGAGGCAAAACAAGTGTGGAGGGCTAGATCCCTAACTTCTGACCTGGGAGCATGAGATATATTTTTTTCTAAGTTTTCCAGTCTAAATATGGTGTTGATATAGCCTCCCCTGTAAGTCAAGAATGCTACTAATACCTACTTGATGCAGATAATTAGGTCTATGAAAATTTAATGACCTCACTTAGTAATAATAGCTAATTCTTACATAGTATGTAGTGTCACGGTTCTAACTGAGCTAACAAAGGTAACTTACCACAGCTCTGTGAGGTTGATACAAGTCCCCAGGTCTCAGATGGAGAAACTGAGGCATGCAGGCTTAGGTAATTTCCCAAGAGCCATAGCCAGGGGTTGTAGACTTGAACCCAGCCTCTTGACCTCCCTGCTGTGTAACAGGGACTGGCACTGCGCATGCCTTTTCCCTCCTTCCCCCCTGCGCCCCGCACTTACACCTGCCAAAGAGTGTGTGGCTCTGGGAGGGAGAGGACGCGGAAAGAGGGAAGGCAGCCCAAGGAGGGCAGCCCAGGAGCCCACACAGGTCTCAGCCCCGCTTCTGCCCTGAGGCTCTCGGGCGGCTCAGACCACGTGGTGAGCGGCCCCAGGAAGCCGGCTCACCTCTCGCTGTCTGAGATATCGGAGGAGGGTGAGTAGGGAAGGAGAGAGGCAAACTTGCCCAGGAGTGGGGAGCTGGACAGTCGCAGCTAGCCTTGCAGGTTAGAGAGGGGGCTGCTTCTGCCTGAGGCCTGGAGCGGTGGCTGCTTGAAACACTGACCCACGGAGCCCCCAGGAGCCTGGAGCCAGCGGGAATCTCAGCAGCATCATCTTAATGACGACAGCAGTGGTACCAAGCGTCGTTGGATGCGGGTGCTGGCGCTCTCACCAACATGCCCGTCTCATTCTAACAAGCCTTGGAGGCGGGACTCGACCTCCCATTTCACAGAGGAGATGACCCAGCCAGCTCTCCACACCACAGCCCCGTCCACTCTCTACTCACGGCTTTACCCAAGAAGGACGAAGCCCCAGTCCATCCGAGGAGGCTCCCTTCTCAGATGCGGCCTCCACTGGTCAGAAGACATGAGAAATGTCTATGACTTGACACTGGCAGAAAGCGTTTACTTGAAAGCAAGGAGGAGGCCGGGCAGAGATGCTGTTGGATCAGGACAGCTGCCGTGCAACAGCAGGAAGCCCCGGGGCTGGGGCAGAGAGAAGCCCGGCCCTCGCCCCCAAGGCCTCAGACCTCAAACCCAAAATAGGTGCATCAGAAGAACCAAAGCAGAGACCCAGCAGCTCATTCCTATTGTGTTAACAGGCTCGAGAATGCTGCCAGGGGAACCTGTGTTTCCTTGACGGAGAACACGGGGAAGACTGGGGAAGACGACCTGGTAGGCTGCTGCTCAGACCATTTGTCCCAGTCTTACCCACACGTGCCTAGGCTCGGCCTGGGCCCAGAGGGGCCGTGTTAACACGTGTGGGCTCAGCATCCCCCCAAAACAGGGGTGAGTGGGTTCCCCCCTTCCAGCCAGGAGCCACAGGGGCAGTGGCTAGGTGCCTCCCCACCGCCTTTCAGGGTGCCTGGGTTTCATTTCTCTGCTGTCCCCTAACACAGCTGATGCGGTGATGAGGAACCCACCCAGGGCTGAGGCTCTCCAGGCCTCTGCTACCTCCAGCAAGGGGAAAGGAAAGGAGAGAATTTGGAAGTGATCTTTGACAGCTAAGCAAAGGCCCGGCCTCCCCACCCAGCTCTCACCCAGGCAGGCCTCTCTGGCCTGGACTTTGGTCACTTGTGGTTCGGAAGTCTCTGGGAGCAAATCCATACTTTCCACTGAGCACCGAGGATCTCAGCTCTACTCTCCTATACGGAAACTTGTCTGTGCCAAATACAGTTTGTTTGCTTGTTTTTAAAAGAATCGTTAATGGGGGGAAATTTCTCATTTGGGGATTCTCCATAGCCTGCTTGCTGAATGCCCATTGAAGGCATTGCCCTCCAATAGACAAAACGTCACTGGTCAAAAAGCCAGTGTGTTTCTGGCTCCACACTCAAATGAATCCCTTTGCTCTGTGCCTTCCCGCATTCCTTATGCAGACAAAACTGCCCTAGAAGTCACGGAGGATTGTCATTGCATAAGGCTCCCAATTCAGGCTAGCGAAATGTCACTAACCTGAGCCTGGCCAGCTTCCCAGAGCAGCCATAGACAAACTTGGTGTTAACAGTTCTCCCAGCCCTGCTGAGCGTCAGGGCATTGGCCCTGTGTTTATAACTCTTCTCCTAAAGGACATTAAAATGAAATGGGCTGAAGCCAAGTACATTTTAGTGTAAACCTTTAAGAGGCAGAGCCCGCTGAGCTCGGGTGGCCTTGTTTGGAAGTGGCCCCATGTGGGGCCTGGGCCTGGGAGCTCTGTTGGTTTCAGAGACAACAGGAGAGGACGGGCTATGCCTCTGCCTACCTTGGGGAGGGGGTGGGATCCCCAGTTCTCAGCTCTGTGGACAGACTCACAGGCATGTCTCCCCAGCCCTCTCTCATCCTGACATCTCCCCTCGTCTTATACAGTAGTCAGGAAATATGTGGGTATCTAAAGGTGGGCTCTGCATCTCCGTGAAGTCCCCTAGCTTTTATCCTCCATGGTCACCCCTTTGCTCAACTCTTTCTCCTGTGGCCTGGTTCTTAGCGTTGCCCATGCCAGGCCCTGTCCCACCCGAGGCCCGCTCCCTACTCATGGGTTACCGGTGCTGCTTGAGCCCCGTGTGTCTCAGAGGGACTGGGAGTCAGGCCGTCTCTGGCACACACACACCCAGCTCCAACGGGCTCCCAGCCGGTAATGCGGCCGCCAGGGAGCAGCCGTGGCCAGCGGCCTTCCCCTACATGTGGCTGTACTTGGCGGGCCCTGCTGCCTCCGTCTCCCACCTCCAACCCGAGGCCCCGACAGCTGCTGGCCACCCCCCCTTCCTCCTCAGTCTTCCCACCGCCCCCTGCAAGCCCTGTGCACTCTCAGAGACCCCGCCGCACCTCCTCCCCAGGGCCCACCTCTCAGTGCAGAAAGCCTAGCCTGGCTGAGCCTGGCACCCAAGCGCCCTAAGCAGGTGTCAGCGTCCAGCCTGCTCTGCGCCCTGCAGGCCAGGTGGGGAAGGGAGGGGGCAGAGAGAACAGTGGGTGTGGCCAGAGGAGAAAAGGGGCTAGGAGGACCCGCTCTCAGAAACCCCTGGAAGGCACCCTAGGGCAC